CCAACCAACCCAACCAACCCAACCAACCCAACCAAACCAACCAAACCAACCAAACCAACCAATCCAACCAACCCAACCAACCCACCCAACCAGACCAACCCAACCAACCCAACCAACCAACCCAACCAACCCAACCAACCCAACCCAACCAACCCAACCAACCCAACCAACCCAACCAAACCAACCAAACCAACCAGACCAACCCGACCAACCCGACCAACCCGACCAACCCGACCAAACCAAACCAACCAACCAAACCAAACCAACCCAACCCACCCAACACAACCAATCCAACCAACCCAACCAACCCAACAAAACAACCAAACCAACTAAACCAACCAAACTAACCCAACCAAACCAACCCAACCAAACCAACCAACCCAACCAAACAAACCAAACCTACTAAACCAACCAAACTAACCCAACCCAACCAAACCAAACCAAGTCAACCAACCCAACCAAACCAACCAACCCAAACCAAACCAACCAAACCAACCAAACCAACCAAACCAACCAAACCAAACCAAACCAAACCTACGTAACCCAACCCACCAAACCAAACCAGAGTGCAAACCAATTAGAAGCTATTCCTGAGGAGTTTGCTCCGGGAAGCCAAAGGAAAAATTAAAATAATCCATCCAACAGCAAGTCTGAGCTTCACAGGGCGAGGAAGCACTATAGTACTGCAGATAGTGTTTCTGCTCTGCTGTGAAAAAGAACATAGGGCTGTGATACCTGCCGTAGCATACACCAGGTATTTATGACTGGGGTGTAGATCAAGTAGCTTGGGTTTTGAAATTTCTGATATTTTGCTCAGTTTTGTGCTTTCTATTAAATGGCCTCAAATGATATATTTACAGTCATTAAAGGTTTTAAACCTTTAGGTTTAAGTAGGTAAATTCTCAGCCTATGATTTGAAATAATAGTAACCAGTATTATTTTTAAAGGAATATGTATTTGTTGTAAACACTATTTAGAAAGATACAGAAGTGCTTAAGATAAAAAGGTTTCTTTAATTTCTCCTCTAATCTCTACTCCACAGAAGTAGCCACTGGCAAATTTGCAAAATATCCTTGTCCTTCCCAGTGCATATACTTCCTCCTTCTAGAATATGGATTTATATTATATAAACTGTTCTTTAATTTGGCTTTCATCACTAAATAATTTAAATTGAATGTCTTTACATGTCAGCAAATAAAGAGCTATATCCTTTTTTAAAAAGTCTGGTATCACATCCCACTATATTATGTCACATTATTTATTTATCTATTTTCCTATTGATGGACACTTGGGTTATTTCCAATTTTTTATTATTAGAGACAGTTTTGCAATTAACATCTTCATGCATTCAAACCTGTGCTTTGTGCAGTCACTCTGCGAGCTGCCTCTGGAAATCGAGTTGCCTGGCCAGGCGTTAGGTGCATTTAGAACTTTAATAAATGCTTCCCAAGTTACTTCCAGCCTGTTTGCAGCAATTTCCATTCCCACCACAATGAAGAATGCCTGTCTGGCCACAAGCTCCACCCTTGGCATCAAGGCACTGACCAGCTAAATCAGGGACTGCATCCTTTGCTTTGCAAAGATGTGACAAAGACCTCACCTCTTTTTTTTTTTTTTTTTTTTTTTTTTTTTCTGAGACAGGGTCTCCCTATGCAGTTCAGGCTGGCCTTTTTTTTTTTTGGTACTGGGAATCAAACTCATGACCTTGCACTTGCCAGGCAGGCACTTGTGCCTCTGAGCTATATCTCCGGCCCACCTCATGTTCTCAACTTCCTTTATCTTCAATTTATTTTTCATAGCTGTCATGTACTTCTAAGGAGGAAAACACAAATGTTTGATTTCTTCAGATATTTCTCAGAGGTACAGGCACTTGTACTAGTCTGTTTTGTGTTAGTATCATGAAAGACTTGAGGTAGGCTCTTCTATAGAAAAAGAGGTTTATACTGACTCATGATCTGGAGGCTCAAGGTCAAGGGGCTGCCTCTGCCAATGGCAACCGACTGGCAGAGAGGCCAAGCAGGGATGGGCATCACGTGGCAAGACACAGGAGCGTGTGAGTGTGTGTGCCCCCTCCGACCTCTCTCCTCTTAGAAAACCACTAGTGTTCATCACGGGCCCCACCCTGATGGCCGTATCTAATTCTTGTCCCTTCTCCACCTCTAAACACTGTAGTCAGATTAAGTTTGCACCCTAATATCCACAATGGGGGATTAAATTTCAACACATAATCCTGGGGGGATACACTCAGACTGTGCTCAAACCCCAGCAGCACATTCCTGGCTAAGAACACCCGTTTTAGCACCCATAGCTTACCTATGCAGCTCATTTAGATGTTAATTATAACTACCTGCAGGCAGGCAGAGGCTCCCTTTCAAATCCTAGAGATGGAAAATACGCTTCTGATGTCTCCTTGTATATGCCGACCCATTTGTTCATGTGTGTAGGAAGCCGTGCACTCGTTCAAGTTTGCAATGACACTTTCACCCCATATTTACCTTTAAGTCAGCTACATTGTGGGTTCCGTGCTGATCACCATGGCCACGTGGAGACGGACCGCCACTGTCTTCACCAGGACCCTGGTCTGTGTAGCCAAGTGGAAAGGACAGAGGGGTAACCAGCAAAGACAACAGAGTGGGAAAGTGGAGTTTTTGCCTCCGGGGTCCTGGGGATCTGGGGTGGTGTAAGCGTGGCCACCGGAGGATTAGGGCTGCAGACTAGAC